TATGTATGTATATGTATGTATATTTATACATATTTATATAAATATATATATATATATATATATTACTATATATATGTATATAAGTGTGTGTGTGTATTATAAATTACGTATGTTTCTATGTATATATATATGTGCGTGCATCTATGTATCTATACATATATATATATTCACATAAATACTTTCTTTTAGAGTCGTACATCGAAGTCTATTTAGAATCGGTTCATATGGATATGTATACGTGAATTAAGTTTTTTTCTGTGTTTTGTATGTATATTTACAAAATATCTGTTTGTATATAGTGTTCTCGTACCCTCACAAGCAGTACAATACAGTGACTGATCTTCTGTCCCCTTTACATTGATAAAGAAGCCAATCACCAAGCCCGCTATAAACTTTAAACTGGGCGGTGGCGGCAAACTGGGTGGAGCAGGGAATCGTGTCAGCTTAACAAATGGTCTCAAACTGGTACCGAATAAGATGACTACTAGTTATACGACCAAGCTGGCACCCAATTCAAGTACATATACAAGCACAAATGATAGTACTGGAACAAGTATCAGGACCGGTGGTGGGTTGAGTGTGAACAGGATTGGTGGGATACTGAAAAAACCAAATGTGATAAGCAAGGTAAAGCCCGGGAGTGTATTCGGGGGTACGGGGGAGAGTGATAGTGAGGAGGAGGAGATGCCGATGGAGGCCAAGATGCGCATGCGGAATGTGGGTAAGGATACAGTAACTTCGGCAGGACCTAATTCTTTCTACAAGACTAAAAAGGGATTTACAGATCCGAAAAGTATTTGGAAGGCAAGCGAAGACAAACTGGCGAGTCAGCACATGCCCGGAGATGATACCGATGAATGAGGATATTATCGAATTTAACCGTATAATTGTTTCGAATTAAACATTCATATAAACTTTTGTTTTGATTATCTATTACATGAAAGCCTGTGTATTGGTGCATGTATATACAGTCGATATTATATTAAACATGCATACATTAATATATGTGCACAAATGACTATAAATATATATATATACATATATATCATCTATTTATGATCCCTGCAGTAGCTTAGTTACCCAAAAACTAACACACACATTAGATATCGCTTAAACCTGAGGAATTCTAGCTTGCCCTCATGAACCTTTACCATTCTCACGTTACCCCCAATATTAGGTAAAGATACCATCTCTAGTAATGCAAATGGAAGAGTCCGTCTACACCTCGACCTACTGAGGGAAGTGTATGGTATCCTAAATCACCAGGAGCTTAGTAACTTAATTCCAAGTCAACCAAGCTAGTATAGGGATCATAGTTAGATGATATATATATATATATTTGTATATATATATATATATATATATTATTATATGTATATGTATATATATATATATATGTGTGTGTGTGTGTGTGTGTGTGTGTGTGTGTTGTGTGTGTGTGTGTGTGTGTGTGTGTGTGTGTGTGTNT